ACTTACCTGTGTCTGATAATTGACATTGTTTATCCTATGTTATCTACCTACCTGTGTCTGATAATTAACATTGTTTATCCTATGTTATCTACCTACCTGTGTCTGATAATTAACATTGTTTATCCTATGTTATCTACCTACCTGTCTGATAATTAACATTGTTTATCCTATGTTATCTACCTACCTGTGTCTGATAATTAACATTGTTTATCCTATGTTATCTACCTACCTGTGTCTGATAATTAACATTGTTTATCCTATGTTATCTACCTACCTGTCTGATAATTAACATTGTTTATCCTATGTTATCTACCTACCTGTGTCTGATAATTAACATTGTTTATCCTATGTTATCTACCTACCTGTCTGATAATTAACATTGTTTATCCTATGTTATCTACCTACCTGTGTCTGATAATTAACATTGTTTATCCTATGTTATCTACCTACCTGTGTCTGATAATTGACATTGTTTATCCTATGTTATCTACCTACCTGTGTCTGATAATTGACATTGTTTATCCTATGTTATCTACCTATCTGTGTCTGATACTTGACAATGTTTATCCTATGATATCTACCTACATGTGTCTGATAATTGACATTGTTTATCCTATGTTATCTACCTACCTGTGTCTGATACTTGACAATGTTTATCCTATGTTATCTACCTACCTGTGTCTGATACTTGACAATGTTTATCCTATGATATCTACCTACCTGTGTCTGATACTTGACTTTGCCAGCATAATGCTGAATGGTAAAACTACTCTCCCTCAGCTGTGGAGCTTCATAATAAGGGTTCCCCTTGTGAGCCGTGTGAAACTTGGTCAGCAAAGTCTCATTGGTAGCTCCAGGGAAATTGCACTCTTCATCCAGTAAGTGAAACAGTCCATGTGGCTTTTTGGCAAACAGATCCAGACATCCTGTGTTATCTATAAACTCTATGTTCTTCCACTGAATTCCTTCTCTTTGATACTCTTCCTGTTCATAAACAAAGGTTGAAAGAAAAACATATATAGCTATAATAAAGTATATCACATATAAAAGTAATATTAGAAGAGAACAGAGGTGCTGAAAACTAACAACATCAGTCATGTTTACACGCAAGAATTAAAATCATATAACAGGCTCAATCTAGAACAAAAAATGTCACAAAAAAAGCTATGTACTTTCATTGCAGGAACACTTTTTTCTGTGAAAATTTATTATATTTCTTCACAAATTCACTTTCATCTCCAGAATATTTTCCCTCCTCACCTGCTCAAACTTGAAGATATGCTGGTTAAAGTAGTACTGTAAGTGTTCATTGGCATAATTGATACAAAACTGCTCAAAGCTGTTCTTGGTGAAGTCCTCAAATCCAAAGATATCTAGCACTCCTATAGAATTGCCCTGATGGAAGAAGAGAAATATTTTCAGTTTGCAGTGTCCTATACAAATATACTATATATTATTCTACATACAAAGCATTATTCACTAAGGAAAATGCCAAGTAACCCATTGTGATTTAAATATATAATGTAAAAGCTAAAACCCATTGTCTAAAAGTTAAATATCAAGAAAGTGGATTCCCTATAATGCAAATTGACCACTTCTACTGGTTTCTTATGCAACTTAAATTAAGTTGACATGCCAAGGTATAAACCTAATATAGCACTCGATCAGCCACAAAAGAGCTTTAAAGCTAGTTTTTTTCAAATACCTGGTCATGACAGGGGCGGATTAAGGCCGTCTTCTGGGTCTTCCAGAAGACGGTCAGATATTCAAGTTTACATTGACGGGTATCTATCTCTTTCTGTTGATGACGGTCAAAAATGGAGCATGGATCAACAAATCTAATATGGAAGACTGTCATAAAACATCTCTGGATCCGCCCTTGCATAATTTGATCTACTTATCCATCCATTCATTCAGTTTGAGAAAGTCAACCATAATAATATATGGTACATTACTGCTGTCTTCACAATAGCACAGTTATTAAAATGATATGCAGAAAACAACTGAGAGTTATATATATACCAAAGATTTTTACAGGAAATATGAAACTATACCCTTCGGTATTCTTTTTAAGTACTAATATTTGAGATTGTATGGTGGCATTTGTTCTACATCTAGATTCTTGTTTTACTTCACAAGATCCCATGCCAAAATGACTCCCAGTGTTGTTCCACTTTTGTGGTCTTCATTACCTGGTGATTCTTCTGTAGTACTATCCAGTCAAATAGAGCACCATACATTACCTGATGTTCTTTATGATCCTTCTTAGCCAGTAGAGAGTGGTTCACCTGTAGTACTATCCAGTCAAATAGAGCACCATACAGATATTACCTGATGTTCTTTATGATCCTTCTTAGCCAGTAGAGAGTGGTTCACCTGTAGTACTATCCAGTCAAATAGAGCACCATACAGATATTACCTGATGTTCTTTATGATCCTTCTTAGCCAGTAGAGAGTGGTTCACCTGTAGTACTATCCAGTCAAATAGAGCACCATACAG